CGCGTGTCACCGAGCGAAGCACGTGACCACGATTCGCACGGCGAATCGTGCCCGCCGCACATACACACTCGCATTACACACACACACCGTACACGCACAACGACACCGCCTTTGTAAACACGACACACATACACATACACATACACGCATTCACACTCTGTACATAAATACATCAAATATATATCTTTCTTTTGCATCGAACCAAGCCGCATTTCATTGCAATATTACCGCCTTGTCTCTCTCTTCCTGGCCGAACCTCTTTGCGACCCTGGCCGCAGCCCGTGACCGACGAGCTACGTCCGCGCAAAGTCAGGTCGTTTCATTTTTTTAAAAATGGCGGATACCAAAATGAGAAGATGTAAAATTTGTAATCAAAGGTGCGAGTTTGCGACGATGCACGGTGTGAATCAGGTATCGCAGCTCAATGAGACCAAATGCACATAAAAATATGGACTTTTATCTTTAAAATGCTTTTTTACGGAGTTTGATACGATCATTTTTCACTGAGTTATTCCAAATTTAAGATATCGCCGTCATTAGCACAAATTATGGCTGTAATTCATGTCAATATGAACTGCATAGAGTTTGACAGGTCGGAATTGAATCTCAATTTGTGTGTGTGTGGGGGGAGGGCGTGTATGTATACACATATGCATGTGTATGTCCTGCTTGGCGTTATCCAGGATCAACGGCGTGGACGTGACAGGAATCTGATCGTGTGTGTGTGTGTGTGTGTGAGTGTGTGGGCGCGCCCGGATGTGCGTGTATATCACAGCAGAGATGAGGACCCCACGGTTCGTCATTTCCGCTGTATTTACAGACTCCAAACCCTCTCTGCTGTGCGTGTGCGTGTGTGTGTGTGGGCGCGCGCGCGCGCGCTCGTTCTTGTGTATTAATAGTGGGTATGACCTCCTCGTGCGCGTATTACCTCATTCATGCGATCAGGCATACTCCTTATTAGTCTTTTAATTTCGTCCTGTGTAATTGCATTCCATTCGTTTTCGAGAATTTTTCGAAGTTCTTGCAGTGATTGAGGAGCAGGTACGTGATTTCGCACTTTCCAAGATTGTCCCATAGGTGTTCACTGGGATTTAAGTCTGGACTATCCGCTGGCCATTCGAGTCGATTTATGGCAATCATTCATCGAGAAAATCAATTACTCTTCTCGCAATATGTGGTCGAGCATTATCTTGTATAAAGATAAAATTCTCTCCGATGAAGGGTGCGTACGGAACAACATATGGAATGAGTATATCTTCCACATATACATCTGCGTTCATATTGTTGTTAAAGAAGTGCAGATTGTTGTTAAAGAAGTAAGATCGAGGAAAAATAAGAAGAACCGCGAAAGGTTATCGGCCGTAAACAAACTTGTTCATGTAAACAAGAAATTCTCTCCGATGAAGGATACGCACGAAACAACATACGAAATGCATGAGAACGAGTTTATCGTCGCAGAGAAGAACGATTTGCAGATTGTTTACATGAACAAGTTTGTTTACGGCTCAAGTTGTTGCTTTAATTGAAGATGGTAGAAGTCGAAGGTACGTTGCTGAGGCACTTGATTTATCAGTGTCAACTGTGCAACGTGCTTACGCCAGGTATTTAGAAACCAATTCTTTTCAGAGGAGGCCTGGTTCGGGACGCCCTCGATGTACCAACAACAACGATGACAGATTTATTGTTTTGAATTCTTTAAGAGACAGACATCGAACATCAGTTCAAATTCGAAACAATTTGAGGGACGTGTGCAACACTAATGTATCCGTTTATACCGTTCGGAGAAGATTAGCGGAACAAAATCTGTTTTCGCGTAGGCCAGTGGCTGTACCTTTACTTCAACGTCGTCATCGCGTAGTTCGAATTAATTTTGCAGTTGAACATAGAGACTGGACTCACGCAGACTGGAGCAAAGTTTTTTTTAGCGATGAATCTCGTTTTTCTCTCTATTCTCTAGATGGACGAGAATGAGTTTATCGTTGCAGAGGAGAACGATTTGCAGATTGTACTGTAAGTGAGAGGCACAGCTACAATGGAGGGTCTGTAATGGTTTGGGCAGGAATTTCTGCAAATGCTCACACAGATCTGCACTTTTTTAACAACAATATGAACGCAGATGTATACGTGGAAGACATATTCATTCCATATGTTGTTCCGTACGCACCCTTCATCGGAGAGAATTTTATCTTTATACAAGATAATGCTCGACCACATATTGCGAGAAGAGTAATTGATTTTCTCGATGAAGTTGCCATAAATCGACTCGAATGGCCAGCGAATAGTCCAGACTTAAATCCCATTGAACACCTATGGGACAATCTTGGAAAGTGCGAAATCACGTACCTGCTCCTCAATCACTGCAAGAACTTCGAAAAATTCTCGAAAACGAATGGAATGCAATTACACAGGACGAAATTAAAAGACTAATAAGGAGTATGCCTGATCGCATGAATGAGGTAATACGCGCACGAGGAGGTCATACCCACTATTAATACACAAGCACGAGCGCGCGCGCGCGCGCGCCCACACACACACACGCACACGCACAGCAGAGAGGGTTTGGAGTCTAAATACAGCGGAAGTGACGAACCGTGGGGTCCTCATCTCTGCTGTGATATACACGCACATCCGCGCGCGCCCACACACACACACACACACGATCAGATTCCTGTCACGTTCACGCCGTTGATCCTGGATAACGCCAAGAGCAGGACATACACATGCATATGTGTATACATACACGCCCCCCCCCCCACACACACACAAATTGAGATTCAATTCCGACCTGTCAAACTCTATGTAGTTCATATTGACATGAATTACAGCCATAATTTGTGCTAATGACAGCGATATCTTAAATTTGGAATAACTCAGTGAAAAATGATCGTATCAAACTCCGTAAAAAAGCATTTTAAAGATAAAAGTCCATATTTTTATGTGCATTTGGTCTCATTGAGCTGCGATACCTGATTCACACCGTGCATCGTCGCAAACTCGCACCTTTGATTACAAATTTTACATCTTCTCATTTTGTTATCCGCCATTTTTAAAAAAATTACCGCTTATAATTGTCCGTTTAAATACTGTACCGTTTAAATATTCTTAAAGTGGACACTTCAAGCTTCAGTTTCCTTTTTTAAACATATTTTTATCTTCATTATTTACCAAGTTATGATCATTTAAAATTTGGTTAATTTTTCCTAATTTTTCAGTGTACCGCTTTTTTTGCACCTGAGTGTACATGCTTCAAACTTGAACTTCTGAAAACCAAGTTTAAATAGTACTTTCTGAACCTTTTTATTCCATACTCTAGAAGACTGTTTTAAGCCATATATTGCCTTATTTAACAAACACATTTTGTTATCTTGATCTACAAAACCTTCGGATTGAAACATGTATATGTTTTTCAATAGCACACCATTTAGAAAGGCCGTGTCCACATCTAAATGATTTATGTCTAAACATACTTCATCAGAAAAGGCAATTAACAATCTTATACTCGAATGTCTTACTACAGGCGAAAAAGTTCCGAAATAATTAATACCAAATTTGTGTATAAACCTTTTACCACGAGTCGAGCCTTATATCTGATAATCTCACCAGCAGAATTTCTTTTGATGCGAAACACCTATTTATTTTTTACTATTTTCTTGTTCTTCGGAGGATCCTTCAGTAACCAAACTTTGTTACTTGCTATTGATTCGAGCTCCTCTTTCATTACTTGTTTTTATTGGAAACTGTTTTCTTGTTTTATGGCTTCTTAAAAAATTTTTGGATCGTTCGGTTCCTGAGTAGTTTGAGTTGTATAATATGTTATAAAATCTGGAAATTTGTTGCTGCTTCTGTTTCTGCTAGAATATCTCTTCTTCTTTTCCTCTTCTCTGACTTTTTCATGTCCTCCAATTTCAGCTTCTGTTTCAATATTCTTGTTATTGAAAACTTCAATTTCTTCTTCTTCTTCAAGATAACTTTCTTATTCGGAAATTTCTTCAGTTTCTGAATCAGTATTTGGGCTAGCATTAGAAAAATCTTCTGCATATTCTTTTTCTGTCAAATTAATTTGAACAATATTCATGTCTATATCTTCTTTAATTTCTTCCTTGTTGATATAAAACTGGTCTTCTAAAAAGACAACGTCTCGTTCCTTGATAATTTTCCCTTTCTTTTCAAGATTAAACAATCTATATCTTTCTATATCTTCACAATAACCTACAAAAATATGTGGTTTTCCTTTGGCATCTCACTTGTTTCTTTGAGTTTTGGTAACATGAACATATGCTAAACAATCGAACATTTTTAAATGACTTAAGGCAACTTTCTTGCCGGTCCAATTTTTAAGGTAGACTGCAGTGACAGAGTTCACAGCTTCAGTTCACATCTTTTGATCCATACCCCCATCTTGTATTATGCAGCGAGTTTTTTCGACAATTGTTTGATTTGTTCGCTCCGCTAAACTATTTTGCTTCGGTGTGTATGGGACTGTAAGCTGATGCTTGATACTTTTAGACTTCAGATAAGAAGCAAATTCTTTATTTATGTTTTCTCGTGCATCATCAGTAGAGTCTTTATTATTTAATCAGTTTTATTTTCTACCATGTGCTGATAGTCTAAGAACGAGGAATATGCTTCATTTTTGGAGGTAAGAAAATATACGTAAATTTTTTTAGAAAAATCGTCAATGAATGTAAGAATATATCTTTTATCGCTCCATGAATATTCTGGCATGGGGCCACACAAATCCGAGTGGATAATTTTTAATAATTTAGTAGCTCTTTTAGCAATTAAATTTTTGAAAGATTTTACAGTTTGTTTATCTTTCAAACAAGCAACATATTGCTTGCTTTTCTTATCATCAAAAAATATTCCAGTAGCTAAATTTTGCTTTAGCAATTTCATACTCGCATGATTAAGGGGTTATGCCTACATGTAAACTTAAAAAAAAAAATCGATTTTTGGATTTTGATATTTTTTTAAAGTACATACTTTCAAAAATATTCCCTGTAAATTTCAAGTCAATTCGACAGAAATTAACGAAGTTATGTGAGTTTAAAAGGTATACTGGTTTGAACGTTTGAAGCAGATATTTTACGTGAAATTGCGTGAGTATTTTTTTTTAATTTTGTACAGTCCGAGCTATTGGGGGAAAATTTAGGGGATTTGACACTAACAATAAGTATAAGAATATTCAAGCCTATGACGGTCAAAGCTAGATCTTTTTTGCCTAAATAATTCCTAATGAATTATCTATATCCTATATATGTACATGCATATATATTATATTTTTGTAATTATTCAAACTGCGCGCCAAAATTTTTCCGGACTCTAACGCAATTAATATCCGGACTCTACTGCAATAATATCACAAGTTAAATTAAATTGACAATGTGCTGAAAAAAAAACCTTAAATAAATTTATTGCGAAAAATAAAATCTTATTATTGGTTAGGGGATTTCATTCTAGCTGGAATAGACGACTCCGTGTAAGTTGAAAAATTTGCATCTTATTTGGTTGTAAACTTAATTTGAAACTTCAAACGCATTTTTCTCAAAACCGCGTTTTTAAAATCAGTGGTCAAAATATCTCGAGAATCGCTGCATCGATCAAAATGAAATTTGGTAGGCTTCTTTAATACTAAAAAATCTAGTGCCTAATCGTGGTTTTTTTTTCGTTGGGTATTTTTTTTATTGATAAAAAACGAGCGAACTTTGGTAGAAGAATCGTACCTTCGAATTTGAACAGCCACCATTTTGTCGCAAATTAATTTTTCAAAAAAATGAACGATCGGGCACTAGATAATTTTATACGTTAACTAAATTTGTCGGGCTTTTTGATTTCAAATAAACCAGCTCAAAGCTAGAGTGATCACCGCAAAACGCTTCTAGAAAAACTGCTTCTGGGAGATTACTTACATTTTCCTTATTTATCGATATTTTGCTATAAAAAAAATACTAAATTATCCTCGAAATATATATATTTGAAAACATAAACGTTCATTTCAAAAGCACTTCAAGTTTTTTCAAAAAAAAAATTCTCAAGAATACGTGTTTTTTCGATCATGCAGATAGGCATACCCCTTAAGATGCCCCAGCCTTTTGTGCTAGAGTTTCTCATCATCTGTCTGCATCACAAGATTTGCGATCTGGGAAGTATCTAAACGATACAAACCGTTGTGATGCTGTGACGATAATTTTTCCGGAGACTGAGCAATCTTCCGAGTCGTAGACCTGGCAACCTGTTGAATTGAAAACTACAGTATGACTGTTTTTTACCATTCTACTTACAGAAAGAAGATTAGTTTTCAAGTCAGGAATATAGACCACATTGGAAATTCTTTTTGTAGCATCCTTTGTAGAGACAATTACATTTCTAATACCATGCGCATTAAGTGTCTGACCACTTGCAACTGCTATACTATGTCCTCCTTTTTCGTTGTTGTCTTGAAGCTAATTTTTCTTATTTGATAGATATATATGTACCAGTAGAATCCAATTTTCACCAGAGTCTATGAATCAATCTCCTGTAGCTAAGTTTTTGGAATGCAACACTTGTAAAGCTTTATCATCCTTTGAATTATTTTCGTCACTCACTGAGTTATTCTCTATGTTCTTATTGTATTTACTATAATTACTATAATTATTAACAGGATACTCAAATTTATAATGACCTTTTTTGTTACATCTGTAATAAACTACTTTCTTCTTATTAAACATTTTATTTTTAATATAAAATGCTTCCAATTATTTAAAAATGCCTTAAGAGCCAAAACACAGGATTTTGATGTGTATGATAATGCTTTATTCAATTGATCGACAATAACTTGAATATATGTTTCGATCTCAGCTTGAGATCCTTTTCAATATGAGATTAAATAAACTAATAATTTGAGATAAATGTTTGCCTTAGTACGTGAACGCAATGACAATATGTTTATGTACAGAATCAGCCGAGTGCATCATGTTTCAACGTCACATCATTAAGCTTTCTGGTTTACTAGATGAACAAATTTTATGTCAAAAGAAAGAACTAAATGATAAAGATCAAAATACATAATAATTATCGTTAGGCATATTATTAGCGATGTTGTTCGATTGCGTGTTACAAGTGTAAGAAATTTAGTAAATAATAGCAGCGGTTTCGATGACCACCACTACGCTGGTGGGGAACCTCTGAGAGAGCTGGCGTTATTGGCCAATGAGAAACCGACGTGGCGTAACATCTCTGTGTATGCGCAAGTACTCCGGAGTACCGGGAGAGAGCTCCGAATATATTACCGTCGAAGAGAGTGTTTTCAACGTCTGACTGAAGCAGACGTCTTTCAGTGGAGCAATCTGCTCCAGCTTGCGCTCCGGTAAGTCTTGAAATAGTTTGAATAAAGTATTTGAATAAAATATCGTTGTTTTTACGAATGCGTGACTTGAAGTGAAAGCCTCTCGCCTATTCCTGACCAGGCAGTTTCAGAAAAGTCCGAGATTGAATCTTAGTAAAAATCTTACGCAAGTCATCTGACAATGTCTGTTACGAAAATATATCGCGAAGGCATGGAAAGAAAATATTGAGGAGAGGAAAACATTAATTTTTGTTAAACATATCGGAATAAGTCGAGTCTAAAAGTTCCGTGTCAGTTTGCAAATTCAAGTTATTTTTTTGTTTGCGTATAAAAATCATCTCCGAAATAAGTCGTTTATTTAAAATTTTTTCTTCGTCTAAGATTTTTATATTATTACAATCGGATTCATGAGAACATTCCAGTCTATGCTCCGTGGTTACTGCACTTTGGTTTGTGTTCCAATTAATATGGTTTTTATGTTCACTAATTCTCTCTTTGAGGGTTCTACCGGTCTGACCCACATATGATGCGTCACAATCACCGCATTGTATTTTATAAGCCATGTTTCGTGTGTGATATTAATGGCAATTCGTCTTTGAGGACTTTGATAAAGTTGCTTAATTTATTTATCCCTCTATATGCCATGCTTACAGTGTTGTTCTTAAAAAAATTTTTGATTTTATCTGAAATGCCAGACACGAACGGAACTGTGAAAAAAAATTCTTTTTTGTTCTTTGTATTTTTATTTGTTTTTTCCTTATTGTCATTGTTATTAATCTGTTTATTCAGTAGATCGAATTTCTTGTATAGTCTATTCTTGATGGTGGAAAAAATTAATTTCAACGGATAACCACATTGTTTAAAAGGATTCTGACAATCATGTCAACATTTTTAGCTTGAAATATAGGATGCGACAATAGGAGAACTCTATCCACTAAACCCACAATAACTCCCATCTTCTGACTTAAAAGATGTTGTGAAAAGTAATTAAGATAACGCCCAGGAAAAGTGGGTTTGTGAAACCAGTCATATGTGAGAAAGCTCCCCTCCTTGATCAACGTAGTATCTAAAAAGTTTAGCCTGTCTTGTGTGTTTTGACTCTTAAGGTATTTTTAAGTAATTGATTTATTTCACTAGAGCCTCAAATTTTTATTAATTTATAAAATGCTTTGTCACTTGAGCTCGAGGCGTGTTTAATGTCTTGTAACTTCGCTTTTACAAAATCACTTTTCAAGTTAATCTTATATTTGCGTTCTCTAACGCCATAACCATAGGATTATAGTCCTCTGTAAGTCCACTCAGCATGATGACAGCAACGAATTCTTGCGAGATCGACATGATTTTATTTACATACAGTTCCATGTTCTTGAAAGTCTTGAAAGTCTGTAACTTTATTCCTGCAAAAGCACGTAAAAGCATTAATCTTCTGGACAAACTTTTATCCTCATAAGCCTTCTAAATTCAACCAGGCTTCTTTATCATTTTCCGCTGATCTAATATAGGCATAAGCACACGGTTTAATCATTAAACATATTTTAGTTAAAATACAAAAAAATACAAATCACAAAAAAAAAACAAAAAATACATAAAACAAAAAAAAGGGAACAGAAAACCGCCACATCCACGTTCGTTGTCCCTGGGCCCGACTGAGAGTGGTTTATAGAAAGCAGTTGGCGATAGCAAAAAAATGGCATCCGCCATTTTGGATCCTTTATTTCGAATTTATCTTATTTATTAGATTTCCATTTAATAATATTAGGAACCTTCGCATACTAAGTTTCACATGAAATAATCCACTCGTTGGATTGAAAATCATGTATTACAGAGAGAGTAAAATATAGGACTTTAACTCGAAAAATGATGATATTCCCCGCATTTTCAATGAAAACTAATAGCACCATCGTGTTTAGCAGGTCGAAATCTATAAGATTCACTATGTTTTACACTTTTCCGTTAGTGGGCAAAAACCGGCCTTTTCTGTACTATATTCTTTACAGCCGAGTCAGCCATTCTTCAGACAAGATATGTATTTAACAGTTCTCCCACAAAAAAAGAAAAAATATCTATTTTTCCTCGACTCAACCAGAAATAAACCTTCTATGACCTTCTATATGTCTAGAGCGAGTGAATGTTTTGGGCCCATAATCTGTTGTAAATAACTGGTTAACACCTTTATGTTAGAATCAGGTTTTAGCAAGATAACTTTATTATGACGAACTGTTAAACGTTATAAGCAAAGAGCAATTAAAAGAGAGCAAACCAAAAAGCATACCTTAGCAACTAAAGAAAACATTAACGTTGTGCGTTATTCATGCTTCATACATCACACGCATACTCTTTTCAACGTTCTCACTCAGTCATGACATCTGCATGAACTCACTAGATTAGGGTAGGTCCACAACCTTGCTTTAAGTCGTAAACTGTAAGACGTAAGTTGTAAGGGACGATATATCGGCCACAGAACTTATGCCTTTAGGTCGTAAGAATTGGGTTTTGCTCAATTCGCTTAAGTATAACGGTTAAAGCCTAAAGACTGCGCAAAAACAGTTTAAAAACAAATTATTGTTACTTAATCTTTTTCGACTTATGATAAGGCTTCTTAAAGAAAAGTTGTGAACCTACCCTTGATCATATTACTAACAGATTAACTATATGTTAATACATTTTATATAAAAACAGTTTATAATCTATATATTTAAATTATTCAAAGTTAATATGTTTGACATTTTATAGACGACAAAAACGCGATGAAGCACAATATGACTTCACTCGTATGAAAGGAGCAACCTTATTATCTGAAGGTGTGGATGAAATGGTTGGTATTGTATATCGTCCAAAAACACAAGAGACACGTCAAACTTACGAAGTATTACTCAGTTTCATACAAGAAGCTTTGGGCGACCAACCACGTGATATTCTTTGCGGTGCAGCTGACGAAGTACTAGCTGTATTAAAAAATGATCGACTTAAAGAGAAAGAAAAGAAAAAAGAAACTGAACTTTTACTTGGTTTATTAGCAGAAGAAAGATTTGCACTGCTTGTAAATCTTGGTAAGAAGATCACGGATTTTGGGAGCGACGAAAAAAGTACAACAAACGATGAAAATATTGACGAAACATATGGGATTAATGTACAGTTTGAAGAGAGTAGCGAGGAAGATGATGAAGATGTATATGGAGAAGTACGAGAAAATGAAGACGAAGGTGATGAAGGTGAAGAAGCTAATGATGACAGAGCTATTCATGCAGAAAACGTAAGGTTTTGCTCAATTAGTTTTATTGAAATATAGATTTTCAAAACAAGTTACTATTTATGCGTATTCCTTCAATTATGACCTTCATTGTGCCACAAATTTCTTACATTATATAACTAACAAAGGTACACAATCAACTGACCTTCAATTTTAATAAGCTTTGGATATATCATTCATTTTCAACAAAACATAATTCGAAACAATGACATAACTCAAACAACACAGAAATTGTCATTTTTTAGTTGTTTACAATGGGTGCATTCCATGTCATACATGATGCGCATGATTCTTGTTCACTAAATGTTAAACAAGAATAAATGATTCATTATGCGCATTATGCGTGAAACGGAATGCATCCAAAAATAGAATGGCCCTTTAATGTTCTTAATTCTTGTAAATTGACATAACTGAGTTGCTAAAACTTATCACAAGAGATTGTGTCAAAATTGCATTGTTGCATTTTGTCAATTGTTTTGATTCAACAGTGTTTCATCCACAACTTTTATATAATTAGACTGCTGACTCAATGTGATTGAAAAAGATGAATCTGATTCGGAGCTATCCTTGTTTCAGTTCACATATGTATACGTATGCGTTATGTTTGTATCGCGTGAATTGAATGTGAAAACACTATGTTAGTCAGAATAGAAATTATCATAAATGTTAAATGTCATTTCATGGTAGCTTTTTAATTGTATTCTGAAAAACAATAATGTAAAATGGTTTTTTGCGGTGTAATAAACTGCTGAAGTCGATATAAAGTAAAAAGTAATGTTCTTTTTCTTTCATAAGTATTACATTATTATAAATACAATAGGTACTAAAAATATTTTCCAATACCTACTTGAGCAGTGATTATCCGTGTAATTTATACATATCAAAATGAGTGAATATAAATATGACGCTGCTCAGGCCCCAACGCTCTCTTCAAACATAGATACAAAGTCGGTAGTCTACTTATAGAAGTCTGTGGTTTTATCTCAGTTGTTTCTGAGCAGTTGTAGTGGAAGGCCTCATTTAGTTTTCACGGGGAACGTCATATCTCCTATTAGTACGACATTGCAGTAAAGGTAAGAAAAAAATATTTTGTGTTATTTTTTATTGAATTTTTATATTGTTTCAACTTTTAACTTTCTTGATAAAACAATACAATAATTATGCAGTATAAGGGAAGTCGTCCTAATCGCCTTGACCTTGACATATGTTGTCAATGTCATGACCTTCAAAAGTGATCTTCAAAAGCCAGCGCTCGTTATTCGTTGAAAAGTTATTAATAAAATAATTTAAGAGATACACACAGCCACATTTCTGCTATACACCCCAAAAAAAATATTCTACCGTTTAGCGGTTCCGTATTAATGTCAAAGGATTTTCTATTTATAGTATACGACCTCGAGAGGATACTCTCCAAAGTAGAGGAATTTCGTTTACCTATGACAGGTTGGCTTTAAGATTGCGATCCTCTCAATAATAAAAGAATCTCTTTGCTTGAATTAAATATCATATTTACTTGTAATAAGAAAATTATGGTTATATCTTAATGAAAAAAATAATTCTTTTGTTATTATTACTTTTTATTTTTCCAGTTTAATTTATATTTTTACTGTTTCGCATACTTATATTCCGTCTTATTAACTACAATTAATTATTGAAAAACGCATCACATTGCCGGCGCCGGTAAGATTTGAATCTACGATCCCTAGAACAGCAAGTCTAATACATTTACGCTGAGCTAATCGCACGCTTGTCATTGCCAACGGTATACTTCCTATTGTAACCATTCTTAATTTCATGATGACAGTTTCATATTATTAATATTTGATGAGGTTACATAGAAACGAAATAATACGCTGGTATTTATTAATTCGAAATAATTAAGATAAATATTATATGAAAAAACACCATTGTGGAACAATATAAAAGTCATGTTGCATGCACAATTTGGTCCCAAAATAAATATTTATTTAAATTGAAAATATGAATTACTTCAAACAAGAAAAAAATTTCTTGTTTCTAAACTATGTTTCACTTTTCCTAAATCTGTTGTATAGAACTGAAAGAAATATACCAAATTTTTCTGATCAAATAAATTTTCTTATATCAATATATTATTAAATATTCAAGTTAATCAAATTTGACTTTTCTCTTCGATAAAATTTTATAATATACTTCAAAAGAGAATAAATTCTTATTTTGAGTATATGATATTGAGTATTTCTAAAACTTGGGATGAATGCATTTTAAAACTACTAGCAAGAAAATATTCTTTATTGGAAGTAACCGTCACTTAAAAGAAAAAAAATAAAATAAATAATTGCTTTTCTTGGCAATAGAATTATATTTTTCTGTATGTTATATACCTGATTGTCATATGCTTATTACAGGAAGTCGTTTTTACGTAATCCAAAAAATACTTTCGTTTGTAGAGAATAATATTCCTTTCAATATAGGGGAATCTTCTTGAGATATATATGTATAACAATGTGTAGCTAGGATAGTACGTCTTGAGGAAACATGAGCTACGATCAAAAATAAATTCCTCTATACAAAATTCTATTATAATAATTTGAATAGCCTTTTGAAATAAATGTACAAGAAGTATCTTGCATATTCTTTTATTTCAAAAGGCTATTCGAATTATTATAATAGAATTTTCTATAGAGAGGAATTTATTTTTGATCGTAGCTCATGTGTCCTCATTTTTATAGATGAATACATGTTATAAATACACGCGCCTGATTCATTTAAGATTTTTTTGCTTAGAGGAAATGCTAAGAGTAATTCCCCGCTTATCGGTAGAATATTTTTTTTTGGTGTATATATTCAATATTAAGTAATATCCTACACTTCGCCCTGCTTGGGAACGTACAATTTTCTATACGTTATTTTTTGAACTTTTTTTATTAATAACTTTTTAACGAATATAACGAGCCAGCAAAAACTTTCTGAAGATCACTCAGGATTATTGATCTTGACAATATATGTCAAGGTCAAGGTGATCCAGGCAGCCTCCCCTATTCTGCACAATTACCCTTTTACATACTATAATTTGTGATTCATTTCCTTATTTTATTTGAAGTAAGAATTTAACATATCAAAACGTTGCATCACAATATCTCCGGTCATAGGAGACACGCAGAAAAAAATAAAGACACTTTCATTACATATTTTGGGTGGAAGCTACTGATTGTGTTGAGCGTATTTACTTAGAACTTGATTGTTTAGTCCTTATTAAGATTCCATAATCGTGGTCTAGAAAATCTTGACGGTTCGCGTAAAGATACACAGCCAGTCTCGCGTTGACATGTAGTTGCGCGTGTCTTAGCGCGAGATACTACCGTATCTTCTGATGTTTTATAATTTTTGTATGTATATTACTACTTTTATATACTGTATAAACTACTTTTATATACTTTTATTGTTTACTAACAAAGTGCAATTTAAAATAAATGAATTGATGCCTTTTTAAGTTGAACACAAAATGTTGGTGTGGAAAATAATTTATTCATTTATTCGAAATCTTGGCCATACGTTTCGATTCAAGTTTTGGAGCCTTTCTAGTGTTAATATAATAATGGTATCAGTTGAATGTATCGTACCAATAAAATTTACACTTCTCGATATACTATATAATAACAATTAATTAAAAAAAAAAGATAAATAAATGCACAATTAAATCTTAAAACGTACATGATCTTCGTTAAAGCGTACAAATATGAGATGCTAACTACACGAATGTTACGAATTATCGAAACAAAATGCCCGTTGCAAGTCAAACTAATGTGTGGGGAAAAAAACATAGATAGAAGAAAACATTGAAGAGAGGGAACGTTACTTGTTAATAAATAAATTGTCATAGGTCTCATGCGATAGATTTAAACTGTTTGTTTCCGATAAAAATCATTTCTGAGATGAGTTTTTTATTTGAAATTTTTTCTTCATCCAAAATTTTAATGTTATTCCAATCAAAATCATACGAATATTTCAATCAATGTTCTGTAATTACTAAACTTGTACTGTTTTCCAATTAATGCGGGTTTTGTGTTTATTGATTCTCGTTTTCAAAGTTCTGCTCGTCTGATCCACGTATGTTGCACCATATTTCTTATATTTATTTTATTTTATTTATTTTATTTTATTTTATTTTATACACATTGGTGTGCGACATTAGCGGGAACCTATCTTTGTGAATCTTGATGAAACTGCTCAATTTATTGACAATTTTGTATGCTAACTATCCTGTTATTCTTTAAAACATTTTTGATTTTCTCTGGAATACCAGAAACGTAAGTTACTGTAAAGAATATTTTTTTGTTTCTCATTTTAAGATTGTTTTTATTATTGAAAGCGCTATTGTTTTATAAACTAAATTTTTTATACAATTTTTTTCTGATGCAAAAAATCAACTACAATAAATATCAATTATTTAATAATATTTTAATTATTTTATCGAAATTTTTAGCGTAGAAGGAGGGATGCGACAAAAGAAGTACTTTATTGATTAAACTCACATGACTTCAATCTTCTGACACAACGGGTGCTGTGAGAAATAATTTAAATAGCATTCTGTGAGGAGAGAGAGAGAGAGAGAGAGAGAGAGAGAGGGAGGGAAAAAAAAGAGAGAGAGAGAGAGAGAGAGAGAGAGACGGACTTTTTAATACTAGTCGTATATGATAGTTATTGAATTTTAACAATGTCACATCTAAAAAATTCAATTTGTCACCACCCTCCTCCACTGTAAACTTTAGCCGTGGATGGTAATTGTTAAGTACATAGCAGAGATCACTGATGTGTGCGTTATTAATTGCAAGAGCAATATCGTCTACATAATATACATAAAAAGTAGACTCAACCGTTAATTTATTAAAAGCAGCTGATTCTAAGTCCTGTAGAAATATATCAAAAACAATTGGCGCTAACGGTGATCCTATCGGAACTCCGAAGGTTTGCTTATAAAATTTATCATTGAATGTAAAAAAAGTAGAGTTAAGATTAACTGC